ATGCCGGAAATGACGAATACCGGAAGCAGGTTACTGCAGAGAAGTTGGTGGCGCCGATTTGGAAATTAGGTCCAAACATTGAGTTTCCGAGAGAGCGGGTGCAGATTTCGTTTCTAATGTGTGGCCAGTTTCCTACGGATTCGCTGTTAGAACCTTTTCGTTTGTTTTCTTCTGCAACGTGAGTGGCATATACTCACAGTGACTTCCGTCAGCATCGCTAAAGGAATACGAAGGACGTGTGTGGTGGAGACCAGGAAGCAGCTTGTAAACTGGCTAAGCTTTAGAAAGCGTGGATATCTTTTCGCATTTCCAATTTTAACTCCGCATGATCGGTACATTTTACTGAGCTTCTTTGGTCGTCCTGGCACTTTCTGGTTGGCTATTCATTTATCAGGACACTATTCGCTGTAGTTTGGAAAGAAAAAAAATCCACCGCTATCCAGCATTTGTCTTGGAGGACACCTCAGCAATAGGAAAAATGTCTATTTTCCCTAAGTTATCTCTGAAGCCTGAGGTCGAAAACTATCTCAAAGAGGGCTTTATGAATGAGGAGGTAGGTCAGGTAATAAAGATGGTAGACGATGATTTGAAAAAATTCAAGCATTTATACTCTCAAGAAATAGAAAACAACCTACAAGGAAATCTAAAATTTACAGCTTCCATTTCGTACCATTTGTGTATCGGAATGTAGAAAATACCTTTTATTATTATTATTATTGTGCGGGAGAAAGCTGTGGCAGTCTGCTTGTGTAAAGATTAACCACCTTGGAAACCTTATGAGGCATTTTTTTTTTTTTTAAACAAGGTCTCTGAGTCGAAATCGATTGGACAGCTCTGTGTGTGTGTGTGTGTGCGCGTGTGTGTGTTTTAAGTTGTTTTAGCGGTGGAGCCAATTCCTAGGTATCTCTGGGTAGTTTGAGCCATAAAGTACATTTTCGGTTAGTGGTCCAGCGTTTTACCATTTGCGCCACCCTGGGACTCCTATTAGGAGCTCTAGTATTTCGAGAAGGCTGGCGGTTCAAACCCACCAGTCACTCCTCGGAAGGAAGATGGGGCAATCTACTTACGTAGTGATACTGCCTCGGAAACCCAAGGAGGGAGCTATGAGTCGGTCCGATTCCACGGCACATAACAACAATCAGAATATGGGCGGGTGGAATCCTCCAGCTGCTCCACCAGTGACAAAGATTACATCCTTGGAAAACCCTAGAGAGTCACTGTGAATCAGTGCTCTTTAAAAGGTCACTAAAACCACTGGATGGCAGTGGGTTTAGTTTCTTTTTTTTCCTAGGGTGGAGGGGGGACAGTTATTATCTTTATAAAGAGAAAACAAAAATCTTACTGCCATTGAGTCGATTCCGACTCATAGTGACACCCATTGGGTTTCCAAGACTGTAAATCTTTGAGGAAGCAGACTCTCATCTGTCTTCCATGGAGTGGCTGGTGGGTTTGAACCATGGACCTTTTGGTTAGCAGCTAAATGCCTTAACCAGTACACCAGGTATTTCATTAATAATTACTGAGATAAAAGGTAAATGAGAAATAACTTAATACTCAGGAAGGAGAAAGAAGGACAAATAAAAAACCTGATGATATACCTGACAGTAGATACATTGTTGTTACGTGCTACCACTCATAGTGACCCTGCTACAGACAACCGAATGAAACATTGCCCAGTCCTGTGCCATCCCTACAGTCCTTGCTATGATAAAACCCATCCTTGCAGCCACTGTGTCAATCCATCTTGTTAAAGATCTTCCCCTTTTTTGCTGACCCTCTACCAAGCATGATACTTCTCCAGGGACCAGTCTCTTTTGATAACATGACTAAAGTAAGTGAGATGAAGTCTGGCCATTCTTGCTTCTAAGGAGCATTCCAGCTGCATTTCTTCCAGGACAGATTTGTTTGTTCTGGCTGTCCCTGGTATTTTCAGTATTCTTTGCCAACACTACAATTCAAAGGCATCAACTCTTCTTCAGTCTTCCTTATTCGTTATCCAGGTTTTACCTGTTTATGAGGTAAATGAAAATACCATGGCTTGGGTCAGACGTGGTTTAGTCTTCAAAGTGATGTCTCTGTTCCTTAACACTTTAAAGAGGTCTTTTGTTCCAGATTTCCACATCACAATATGACGTTTGATTTGTTTACTGCTTCCATGGGTGCTGGTTGCAGATCCAAGTAAAATGAAATCCTTGACAACTTCAGTCATTTCTCCATTTATCATGATGGTGCTTATTGGTTTAGTTGCATGAGGTTCCTGTCCTCGAGTGGAATAAAGAAGATACGTTTGTACCCTTAGAGCTCTTCCTTTATCTTACATGTGGAAGGAATACTATCATGTGTTGAGTGCCTCTATAAATGCCATCAGTTGTGTTGGGTGATTTGCACACCTTTGCATCTTAATATTTTCACAATCTTTTGTTAGAGGTTTCATCTCCCTTGCTTATCCTTGTTTCCTCTTCTGTGAAAACAGGACTGGTGAACAATAAGCTTATAATATTTTTTTAGGGTGTTGAACATAAGTAAGCACTGGCATGGTTCCTAGCTCATAATAAATCCTTAACAATGTTAATTCTGTTTGCTACTGCCAGTGTGCATTATATATAGAAGTCTTCAGTGAATGTTGATTTTCTTGAATTGCAAATCTTATGTTCTTTCTTCTTTGTTGTGCTGCCCCTTGGCAACTTTGTTTTTCTGAATTTTTTATTTTCTAATATTCAAAATCTGCTTAAATATTATTTTTGAAGATATTCCTGAAGCCATGACCTTTAGATTTGATTTCTTCATCTTATTTCTGAAGATTAATATTAAGCAATTAATGTAATTACATTCAGCAATTTTTAAACGAAGAGTATGATTTTATAGAAATCTAAATATCTTTTTTTGACACTAACTCTGCCATCGATGTGATTTGCAAAATGAAAGATTTATAAAAGTTATCAAAAGAAAAGGAATATTCACATACCTCATATTCATGTGAAAGCTGGACAGTGAATAAGGAAGGCTGAAGAAGAGTTGATGCTTTTGAGTTGTGGTGTTGGCAAAGAATACTCAAAGTATCATGGACTGCCAGAAGAACTAACGTCTGTCCTGGAAGAAGTGCAGCCAGAATTTTCCTTCGAAGAGAGGATGGCCAGGCTTCATCATACCTACTTTGGTTATGTTGTCAGAAGGGACCATTCCCCAGAGGATATCATGCTTGGTAAAGTGGAGGGTCAGCAAAAAAGGGGAAGGTCCTCAATGAGATGGATTGACAAGTGGCTGCAGTGATGGGCTCAGGTATAGCAGTGGTTCTATAGAATTGTAATAATGCATTATAAGTAAGAAGAATAAACTCCTGAGTTTACATGAATAAGTGCTGGAGATATATGTTCATAATGTTAATGTTTTGAAGTTGAGGCATTGTTTTTCTCAGCCCCTTATGGCAAGAATTTTGTTAGGGCAATTTAACCTAAGTATTACAATTTGCTTAGTTTTAATAACACAGAGAATACATCGAAATGAAGTGGAATAGAACGAATGCTGAAGATGTTTCATTAAATGGAACAAGTATATATATATATATATATATATACATATACATATACATATATATAGTCTACTTAATTTATAGAGTGACCTTGAAACATTTACTTGCTCTTTTCAGGTTGTAACTTTTTTGGGTAAACAAGAAGCTGAAAGGAAGTTCGAAACTCTGTTAAATCACCTGTCACACCCTCCATCCTTCACAACTGTCAGAGTGAATACACATTTAGCCTCTATACAACATGTGAAAAATCTCTTACTTGAGGAACTTCAGAAGGTTTGTGTGATTTCTTTTATAGCATATATATAATTACATTTATGTGGTGATTGTTTTATTTTCTCAGTGCTGCTATAACAAATATCACAGATGGATGGCTTTAGTGAACAGAAATGTATTTTTTCACTGTTTACCAAACCCACTGCCATCGAGTCAATTCCAGCTCATAGCAACCCTATAAGACAGTAAAACTCTTCCATAGGGTTTCTAAGACTAAATCTTTATGGAAGCAGACTGACTCATATTTCTCCCATGGAGTGGCTGGTGGTTTCTAACCAATGACCTTTTGGTTAGCAGCCAGATGCCTTAATCACTGTGATCACTGTGCCACCAGAGCTGCTCCTCACAGTTTAGGAGACAAACATTGTGATTTAAGGGCTACCATCACAGCCTGTGTTACCAGTTTACATATGGCAGTCAAAAATTTTCAGAAAATTACCATTGGCATTGATTCATTTCTTTTTTATTTTATCTGAGTGCATTTGTGGAATGTTTGTCATCATCTCCTTAGGAATAATTCTATAAATTTAAAGTTTTTTGTAGATCACATAATAAGACCATGTAGTATATGAAAATTAATGAGTTGGTATCCTTGGCGTTCCTGGCAGAGACTTTTTCTCAAATATTTCCATGTGACTCTCTGACAGAGTACACAGTCTCTGCCATCAATCTACTGTGCATGCATGTATGCATATGTACTTGTTCCTTTCAGGTTGATTCTGACTCAGCAACTCTAATATTTTACAGAGTAGAACTGTTCCATAGGGTTTTCTTGGCTCTGATCTTTATAAGAGCAGCTCATTAGGCTTTTTTTTCTGTGGCACCACTGGGTGGTTTGAATCACCAAACTTTAGGTTGGTAGTCAAATGCAAACCATTTCTGCTGCCTACCACTCCTCTTTGTTCTATTCTGCTGCATGGAGTGCCTAGTCATCTGCTGTCTCCACTATTAGATACTGGCACATATTTAACAACCCACTTTTGGGGAAAAACAGCCCTGATTTGTAGTGTTTCCCGATTTCAATGGTATAAATATTTCCACTATGGCTTATTTCAAAGCTACCACCATGACCTTGGATTCAGGAGAAGATGCATACAGGTGGTTCTCATGGGCCTGTGTGAGCTGCCTCCAGCACACCACTAGCCCTGACTGGTTTCGAGTCTGACAGCTAAGCTGTCTGAAAGTCCTGAACCTCTGCCAAAAGCATCTATTTTCCCTCACCAAAACTGCTAAGGTGTGCAGGGTTGATGTGGTATATTAAATAGTATCTAATCATACATAAAATAACTTCCATGTTTACTCTCCTATTCAGAAGCTTCTCTTAAAGGATTCCTATGTGAATTCTGTATCAGATATAGATATCTTATATACGGTCATGGGTATGTTTTCAAAGTCAGTTAAGATGAACATTGTGTCTGTGAAGCCAGGCCTAAGGAAAACTCAGCTTTATAAAGAAGTCAGAATACTTCAGAGTCAAATTAGAGAGAGAACGTTGTTTTGAGATTTTTTTTTTTTAATGGTATCCTATAGAATAAAGTGAAAATGTTCCAAATCAGACATCATGCTCTGGAAGATAATATACTGAAAAGATTGATAAATTGAACTTTATCATATATACTGATTGTTTTATTTGTCTGTGTGTTTATTTTGTTATTTATTTTTAAAATTGTTATTGCGATTTGGGGGAAATTTTACAGAGCAACTTCATTTTCCATACAGCAGTTCATATACTTGTTTCATGACATTGACTGCAATTCCCCACAATGTAACAGCTCTCTTCCCACTTCCTCCCTGTAGTTACCTCTACCCTGAGTTTTTCTTTCCTATGCATACCTACCCCCTGAGCTACCTCCCTGCAAACACTGCCCTTCTGTTCTCCCAGGATTGATTGCTCTAAGGAGTGTATCTACCTCGTGTAAATGTTCACCCTATATGCCTGTCTATTGTTTCCCTGAAAGCCATGGTAGTTAGTTCAGTTCTAGACCGGGAGGGTAACCAGGGCCATAGTCTCGGGGTCTCACCAGCCTCTATAAGACCCATAAACCTGCCCTTTTTTTTTTTTTTTTTTTAACACATTATTTTATTTTTATTGTGATTTGGGTGAAAATTTACAGAGCAGGCTCACTTTCCACACAGCAGTTCGTATACACTTTTTTTTTTCTTTTTTAATGATTCTGAATTTTGTTTCACATTATTCTCCTACTCTATCCAGGATCTCTTCCACTGATCCCTTTCTGAGTGGTTTGACAGTGGTAGCCAGGCACCATCTAGTTCTTCTGGTCTCATGGTTGTATAGGCTGAGCTTCACATGGTCTACTAGTCCGTTGGACTAATTGTTTCCATGTGTCTTTGGTTTTCTTCATTCTTCTTTGCTCTGAACGAGGAAAGACCTCTTGTTGCATCTAGATAGCCGCTTGCAAGCTTTTAAGACCCCAGTCAGTACTCACCAAAGTAGGATGTAGAACAATGTTTTTGTGTAATAGTATGTTATGCCAATTGAGCTTGATGTCCCTTGTGACGATGGCCCTGAGGCCACAGGTCCAATTACTCACTCCCTCAGGGTAGTTGACTGTGCCCAAGGAGTTATCATAACTTTACCCCTTGTTAGCTCTATTATATATTTGGACATTCTTACAGCACATACAAAGATGTATGTAGAAATAGCATCTGCTAATCTTATATATGGTCATGGATATATTCCCTTTTGTGTGGACATACCTGATCTGTCTGCCTGTTTACCCATCTATTTACCCATCGATTAATGTTTGTTATCACTGACAGTGGAGTACTATGTATGTAAAAGGGTTTATCTTTGTTCTCTGTACCTCTTGTGTACTTTTCTGTTCCTTCCTCTTCTTCAGTACTAACATATTGGTCACTTCCTTTTGGTATATTGCCCTTCCCTTCATCCATATCTGTACTTGTCCCTGCCTATCTAGCAGTGTTCTCTCCTCTCCCCTCCCACCTCTGGTAACCAACAAAGAAAGTTTCCTTACATATGTAAAACTTTCCTTGACTTATTACAATAGTAAATACAATATTTGTCCTGTGATTGACTTATTTCCCTCACCATAATGTCCTCCAAGTTCATCTATGTTACGAAGTGTTTTGCAGACTCTACATTATTCTTTAGTGTTGCATAGTATTCCATTGTGTGTATGTGCCATAATTTGGTTATGCATTCTTCTGTTGCTGAGACTTAGGTTGTTTCCATCTCTTTGCTATTGTAAATAGTGCTGCCATGGTCATGGGTGTGCATGTATCAGTTTGTGTCCTGGCTCTCACTTCTTTAGGATGTATACCTAGTAATGAGGTATGTATTTATTTTTATCAGCAGTTTAATGGATTAAGTGTTCCTGTTCTTCAGCATCCAGACCTTCAGGAAGTCTTACTCATTCCTGTTATTGGACCTAGGTTTGTAACTATTTCATTTTCAAATTATGTCTAAATTAAAAAAAAAAAAAATTGTTGTTACAAGGATCTTTTTTTACTACTTGATGATAATTCTAAGTTTCTTCATTGTTAGCAACTTATAGATAAATAGGCATTCAAGGTTCATGAAGCTGAATTTTTACTGTATCTTAGAAAATATTACCAAAAAAAAAAAAAAAAGACTAGATGATTAGACATAGACATAAATACCTTGAAAGTAGTACATTTTAGGTCCATTTAGTCCAGTGACTAATTTTTTTTTTTTTGAGAAGTTTAATTTTTTAATTTTTTACTTGTATTTCTTGTAAGAGGGGCTCTATTGGTGTAGTGTCTAAGGCATTTGATTTCTTACAAGATTCCAGTACCAAATTAAAACTTTTTTTAGTTATAATGGGTACAGAGTAACACATTTCCTACAATATATTGCTAAAATTTTGTTCTTCAATTCAACAACTATGTTAAATTACTGTGTGCCAGGTACTATTCTATCCACTTAAGTATTTGTAAGACATATTTGGAAACTTAAAAAAAAAAGCTGTCATATTATTGTGGAAATTCTAGTCTCAAGGAGCATTTTATTTTATTTAAGGTAAGACTATATCACTCTCTTCAGTTTTACACATAACTTATAGCTTTGAGTCATGTGTAGAGATATTTAGTTAAAATATTTTATCATTTTATTTTTGCAATGTTTCCTCCCCTCCCCCTCCCACCTCTGGTAACCAACAGAGAAAGTTCCCTTCCATATATAAACCTTTGCTCAAGGAGGATTTTAAAATCTCTAATTGTGTTATGTAGTTCTTGAGTGGTGCAAACGGTTAATGCACTTGACTGTTAATTGAAAGGTTTACGGTTTGAGGCTACCCAGAGACATATTAGAAGAAAGACCTAGTGTCTTTATCAGAATCAACATATGTTGAAAGCCCCATGGAGCACAATTCTACTCTGACACACGTGGTGTCACCATGATTTGCAGTCATCTTGGCCACTTTATTTTTTAATTGTATGCTGCTTTTAAACTTCTAAAAAATATTTAATAAATATAAAAATGCCCTTTTTGTTAAAGTTTTAAAGTGATTTAAAGGTTCAACATTATGGTTTGTTCCTTAATGTGAGAGAACTATATGGACTGATAAGAGAAGATGTTCATGATTAGTTGTACAAAAGCAAATTGCTGAGCAATATGCCTAAGTAATTACATGTTTTTTGTAAGTTAAAAATAGGTACATCTGTACATGTGTGGATTGGGGCAGTAGTGGTGCAGTAGTGGAATTATTGCCTTCCTTGAGGGAGATCAAGTTTCCATTCCTCACCAGTGAACTTCACATCGAGGCACCACATATCTGTCATTGGAGGCTTATGTGTTACTCTGATGTGGAACAGGTTTCAGCAGAGATTCCAGACTTAGATGGACTGGGGAGAAAGGCCTGGTGATCTGTTTCCAAAACTCAGCCAATTAAAACTCCATGGCTCACAGCAGTCCAGTCCACAACCAGTCATGGGATGGTATAAGACCGGGCAGCGTTTTGTCCCATTGTGCAGGGGTCGTCATGAGTTGGGGGCTGACTCAACAGCAGAAAACAGCATATGTCTAGATATTTATTTTTCTATTATTAGAAGAAAGTCTGGAAGATGTAATATACTTAACTGTTAACCATGGTTAACTCTAAGAGGTTGGCTTGGGAGAAAAGGGGTGGATAAGAAGAGACTTTTTACTTGTTACATTTGTTTTACCTATTGTTTACTATGTACATTTATTATGTATGCAGTTAAAAAATGATTTTCTAAGTTCCTTATTCTATTCAGTTTTTTTAAGGTGAAACGTACACACAATGAAATGGACAGATTTTGAGTATACAGTTCACTGAATTTTGCCAAATGTATACAACCATGTAGATAAGACCCACCCCAGTCAAGTTATAGAATTTCCATTACCTCAGAAAATTCTCTTATATTTCCTTCCACTCAATCCTCTCATCTCTACCAGGAAACTACCGTGCAATTCCTATAATCTCCTGTTTAGTTTTAACCCAGTGAATTATAATAGCATATCACAATCATAGTCTTTTGAAGTAATGTTCCTTAAGTTGTATTTGTTTAGGTACATAATTGCAGTGTCTTGGTCCAAAATTTGGTTGTTTCTATTTCTGCTAAATATCTTTTCCCTAGTCTTTAGTTTTACTTAATATTTTTTAAAAGATAGAGTTTATTTAGGATTTTCTTTTCTTTAAAAGGTAAGACAAGCTTGTAAAAAATTAGAATTATATATAAATAAAAACATAATCCTCCATTACATCTGCTCTCCCACTTTCCAGTTCCCTTTCTGTGAGCACTGGATTTGGAATTTTGTAGACAGTCTCAGTGCTTATACCTGCTTACCTGAATGCATGTGTACACTCATGTGTGCAGTCATTCATGTGTGCATTCCCCACATTTTGGTATGCATGATGTTCTGCAACTTTTTTTTTAATTAAGAATACATTGTGGACCTCTCTCCACTATTTTCAGTGTGCTATTTCACACTTTTTAAAAGCTACTTGATCACACACACACACACACACACACATATGTATACACACATCTATTTCATGTATATTATTTATTATATATTATATATTACATATAATTATATGACATATATATTATTAAGGAGCTCTGGTGGCATAGTGGATAAAGCTTTTGGCTGCTAACCAGAAGGTCAGCAGTCAAAGCTACCAGCTGCTCCGTGGAAGGGAGATGGGACAATCTACTTCTGTAAAGATTTACAACCTTGGAAGCCCAATGGGGGTTGCCCATCCCTGCTGGCCCCACTCCAGCTCCCCTCCACTCTGCCTGGTGCTCTGGTGGCCTGGGGAGACAGCACTCTCTCTCCCTTCCCAGGCAGTGATATACTATGCAATATAAGCATCCTTTCTACACACACACAGGATTCTTCAGCCAGGGACCTCAGCATTTGCCAGATGTACATCATTAATGCATAGTATAGTCTGATAGAATTTTTTTTACTATTGTATAAATGCAAAATGTTGGATAGCGAGATAGTTGTTAAATGAGGAGTAGATGTATTAAGAAATATTTAGTTTTTCTTTTTTTTTTTCCTTCAGGTTTTCGTTATTACCAGCAGTGTTGCAGTCAGTAATCCTAAGATATTTCTTTGTGCATTTGTGTAATCATTTGCAGGATACATTGCTAAGACAGAATTGCTGGTTTAAAGGTTCTTTTTTTTTTTTTTTTTTAAAGTTTGAGGCATATTATCAGATTGGTCTCTTAAAAAAAAAAAAGTCAATTAATGTTCCCAACAAAGCAGGGGAGATTCTTACTCTTCCATTCTGGCCAATACTGGCCATTTTGGATCTTTAAAAGTATTAAAATAATGTAATGATTCTCTGTGCTTCTTACTTTTACCTGGTCTTAATAATTCTTCTGTGTTAGGCTTTGTTGTGATGTAGACTAATCATTAAAATATTGCTGTTGTTAGTTGTCATCAAGTTGATTTTGACTTAAAGCAACCCCATGTGACAAACTGCACCAGAATTTTCTAGGCTGTAATCTTTATGGGAGCAGCTCACTAGATCTGTTCCCCATGGAGTTGCTGGGTGCATTTGAACCACCAGCCTTTCAGTTAGCAGCCGAACCTTAACTGTTGTGCCACCATGGCTCCTTACTGGTGAATATAAACACAAAAGATGAGTTATTGCTGGAAAGTATTAAAAAATCATTTAAAACTATAGAATCACATACCTATCCTTAATTTGTAAAAGGAACAAATCACTGATTTCTAAGACATTCCTAGGTTGTAAAATTGACAAGAGGCTTATTTTGTTTTTTAAGCTTATCATGGGAGCTCTGGTAGCATAGTGCCTAAGCACTTGACTGCTAACCAGAAGGCTGGCGGTTCAAACCCACCAGCCACTCCTCAGAAGGAAGATGAGGCAATCTACTTCCGTAGGATACTGCCTCGGAAAACCAAGGAGGGGTCGCTGTGAGTCGGGTCTGACTCAACGGCACATAACAACAACAAGAACAACAACAACAACAACAGCTTACCATGTTAGTAAGTGTCCATTGACATTCTGCTACATAGGAAGAGGATATTTGCACACCTTAATTTCCTCCACAGTCCCCATCAGCCAATTTTTGTTCACTATGTGTTTTGGTTCTCTAGTGCTGCTATAACAGATATACCACAAATGGATGGCTTTAACAAACAGGGATTTATTCTCTTACAGTTTAGGAGGCTAGAAGTCTGAGCTCTAAGGGCCAGCTGTAGGGGCTAGGTGAAGGCCCCTCAACCTTGAGCTTCAGCTCTGCCTCTTGCCTCTGGCCCACTGAAGCTGGAGGCTTCTCTTACCTCAGACAGCTGCTGGCTGCTGAGGCTGACAAACTCAAGGTTAACAAGTAAAATGGCACAGTCCCAAAATTATCAAATAATATAGCAGGCCACTGATTCAAGTCCAGGACAAGGTTGGCAGACCACATGGCAGGACACTGAGATGAAGATGTGGCCAGATGTGCTTTCAGACCTTTCTCAAAGCTGCTTCTTATATACTGGAAACAAACCACATCCCTAAGGCAGCTACTCAGCCGCTCACAGTAGATTATTCTATAGAGTTGATTACCAGTCTCATCATGGGGACTAACTACATCCAACTGCCCAGCCACTCAAAACCAGGCCCAGCCAAGCTGACAAATAACTTTAGCTATCACATTGTGTTATTTTTTTTTTTAACATTGTGAAGATTTAATAAAACATTAATGTTAATAATAAAACATTAATATTCTTTGAGCATATTTCAGATGGAGTCAGTGCTTGCTTTTAGTCTTTCGTGGTATAGTTTAGAGTTCTTTATCTTGAGTAATCTCTTCATTGGTGATATAGTCCTTTAACAGGCCTGCAGCATCCCATATCCTAACCCCAAAGTTCATCTCATACATGCTATAATCACTTTCTTACTTGAGAGTGTCTGCCTGTTGCCTTTATG